GCGTCGCCAACCACGACGCCTGGGCAGGTCATGGGTGCCAGGCAGCCCCTGCACGTGCATGGGCCCTGCATCGGCGCAGAGACCAAGTGAGCATACTGGTCCACGATGTTGGGCACGGCTGTGTCCAGAGATGAACACGACCACCCTGGATTCAATTGATTGGATAGGAAGGTACACGCGCGGCTGATCGATCGATACAGAGACCGTGACGGCAACCGAACGAAGCTGCATATATTCCGAAAACAGCTGTGCTTAGGCTTGGTACACTTGTGGCGTCGTGACGCAGGGGGATGAAGGCCACCGTCCCAACATTTTAGCTTGACCGTGGGGTAGATGTAGGGAACGTGTTCAGCATTTAGAGGGCCTTCCCCTTTGGCCCTGAGGGACTTCGGGATGCTGTAGTCATACAGGAGCCTATACCAGGACACGATAGCAGCCTTGGAAGTATCTACGACACGCCAGCGTTCAGGAGCCTTGGAAACCATATGTAACCACCGAGCAAGATGATATAACCCATTAATACGCCACATCGTGTTGGGGTCCTTGTCCTCAACCGTAAAACAGATCGGAGCTTGGGCCTGAAAGGCCTTCTTTTCAAAGTCCAGTCGGGCCTCTCCAAGGGCCTGGTACCGTCGTGCGTCAGGGGAAACGGGTTGGGTAGAGCGGGGCCGTCGGGCCGAATAGTTAGGGTAAACCGTTTTGTCGAGCCCCTGGGGCGAAAGCCGCCGACGACACGAGGTTTGCGTACTGTCACGTTGGGGCTGGGGAAGAGAAGGGGAAAGAAGGGGTATGCGTCCATTCATGTGTATACGTTCCATGTCGTCACCTCTGGCAGCCTTATGAAAATCACCCATGGACAGTCGGCCTAGATCTTGAAAGTCTTGCCGCCGAAAAACTCGAGCAACGGAACAAAGGCGCTTCCTGAGCGTGAGGGGCGGTCGTGCCAGGATGCGTACTGATTTGGCCGCCCACGTCGCCCAGGCTGGGCGTGTCGGACGTGCCTGCTGCACCGTGCGTGCAAGCCACCACTTGACAGGCGTCACCTCCGACGGGTGTGATACTTTGATCACGCTGCTGACAGGGGCTGGAAGCTTGACCGAGTGGAGATAAGACTTCAGGGAAGAGCGCACTCTGACACGATCCATCCAAAGCGGGTAAAGCGATGAAAACTCCCAGACATTGAAGGGAAAGTCCGTGCCGTGGGTGCGATGTTTACAAATGAGATCCCATAGCATAAGATGAGAGTGCGTCGAAGCCCATTTTAGCATAAGTACCGTGTTGCCCGAGCCCGTGATATTGATAGGCCCAAAGCCTTGCTGTCCCCGAATACGCTGCTGCATCATCACGTCATAAAGATCTTCATATTTATGCCGAAGGAGGTGTTGCCATTTATGACGTGCTGCGAGATATTGTGAAAAACCCATGCGCTGTGAACATAGTGTGTGTATACGCTTGTCGTACCACTGTTGATTGAGTGCTGTTTGTGCCTCAGTAGTGTGTTCACAGTTTCGCCGTGTTCGTCGATGCGTGCGTGCTCGAGGGTGTAGTCGATACCGAGCGCGAAGTCGACCGAGGTGAGGATTGCTGAGGTTTTTCGCTAACGGGCGGGAGTAAGCGATGTATGCGCTCTCGAGTGCATGTACTTGACGACTAGGAGTAATAGCCAAAAAGAACAGCAGGAGCCAGGACGAACAGCCTGGTGCGAGCTGCGTGTAGCGACTCCTTTCCTTAGTAGGGGTTCCCAGGGCAACGCATCTTAGGCCTCGTAGGTGTTCCCGAAAGCGCCCTACACCACCAGATTACCCAGAGGAGCCTCTGACAAGGGAGCCTTGGCCGATGTACAAGCTCTCGGAGCCAAGCTGATACACAAAGCTCGAAGGTATGGGGTCCTGACGCTGTGCTTGTGGTTTCAGCTTGGGGTCCTGGAAGCATCGTAGCTGCAAGTAGACAAAACGAAACAACTCGAGCGCCTCTGTGATGCTGGCCTCTCCAGGACGTGAAAGAGCAGCTTGCAAAAGCGGTGTAAAGCAGTGGCACAGACGATGAGCACGCATGCGAGACTTGCGACCACCACAGAAGAGAGCACGAACACGTCATAAGGATATGCAAGATGTGACCGCCGTCAGCAGGACAGAGACATAGGAGCTAACCCCTGAAAGAGGTATGCACTGCACCAGATCCTGCTGAACCACATGCATGCCTTCCAAAAAGATGGACGAAGGTTGAGAGCAAAGACACTGCCAGAGCCCACCAGTGAGAACAGATGCCACCGTCGAAGCATATGGCGTAGAACCCTTGAGATCTGAATGGACCGCCAGTTGGGCCGACCAACCGGTCATCAAATCAAGTTCCCGAACTGCCTTGCCCAGAATCTGGAAGCCATCAGAAGTATGAAGTACCGTGCTCTGCTGTAAGTGGGTGCGGATGCGGTCATCACTGTCCGACTGCAGAGTGCCTCCAACACATGGAACATAGACGGCCAGGAAAGTGAGGATGAGAGGAAGACGGCCTTGTTTATTTTGGGTTGTGCGGCCGACATTGAGAGAGCTTGAGAAAGTACGCTTCATTGCAGCACTGATGCATGTCCAAACGTCATGTCCACCACCTGTGGGTAAGTCCGAGAGGAATATAGACATTCGGCAATATGAAGGTTATGAATCCAATATGAAAGGTTATGAATCATGTAGCCAGGGTGCGGTACACACAGCCGTCGGACGGTAAATGCTCCACTCTCCCTGGATCACACAAGTGATGAGAATGTTAACCACTATGGAATTGAAACCCCGTTGGTGTCCCTCAAGAGGCCCTCGACGGTCAGGATCTGGAACCCCCCGTTGGTGTCCCTCAAGAGGCCCTCGACGATGTTTCAAGCCAGCGGGCTGAGGCAACCAGGCGAAGATCCACGTCGTGTGCGCCGCTCTAGGCGGCTTGAGCGGTACCCTAAACCTCCGCCTGGAGGCCTGAACAATGAAATGCCTATGGCGGACGAGGCGCGAGCAAGAGAGAGAGGAGAGGAAGGAAACAAACCACTTCAGGCATGTCTTCACATATCATTAAAGCTCTCCCGTAGTGCCTGCTCCCCTACACTACCGCGGCTAACGATATTCAGCCGACCTACAAACTTCATTCACTAAAGTCAAAGTGTGTGTGCAATTATCATGGGCCATCCGAACTCTGAAAAGACTGTAACTGAGTCCGCTAAATTATTGAAAAGAAGCACACACACCCACACACACACACACACAACGCACAACGCACAACGCACAACGCACAACGCACAACGCACAACGCACAACGCACAACGCACAACGCACAACGCACAACGCACAACGCACAACGCACAACGCACAACGCACAACGCACAACGCACAACGCACAACGCACAACGCACAACGCACAACGCACAACGCACAACGCACAACGCACCGCACGGCACGGCACGGCACGGCACGGCACGGCACGGCACGGCACGCACGCACGCACGCACGGCACGCACGGCACGCACGCACGGCACGCACGCACGGCACGGCACGCACGCACGCACGCACGCACGCACGCACGCACATACGCACGCACGCACGCACGCACACGCACGCACGCACGCGCGCGCGCACGCACGCACGCACGGCAGGCACGCACGCAGGCCACACGCACGCACGCACGCACGCACGCACGCACGCACGGCACGGCACGCCACGCCACGGCACGCCACGCCATGCCACGCCACGCCACACCTGGCCGGGCACGCACGCACGCACGCACGCACGCACGCACCCACCAACCCACCCACCCACCCACCCACCCACGCACCCACGCACCCATGCACCCATGCACCCACGCACCCACGCACCCACGCACCCACGCACCCACGCACCTACGTACGCACCCACGCACCTACGCACGCACGCACCGATGCACGCACGCACGCACGCGCGCACGCACCTACGCACCTACGCACCTACGCACCTACGCACCTACGCACCTACACATCCACACATACACACGTACACACATACATACACATGCACACATACACACATACACACATACATACATACACATACACACATTCACACATTCACACACATACACACATACACACATACACATATACACATATACGCACATACACACATTCACACACATACACACATACACACATACACACATACACACATACACACATACACACATGCACACATACACACATACACACGCACACACATACACACATGACGCACATGCACACATTTACGCATACACATACACATACACACATGCACATATACACAGACACACATACACACAATCACATGCACATACACATGAACATACACATACATATACACACAAAAAATACGGCCCCCCTCCTGACGATCCTCGATCCTCGATCCTCGATCCTCGAACCTCGAGCCTCGAGCCTCGAGCCTCGGACCTCGATCCTCGAACCTCGGTCCTCGAGCCTCGATCCTCGAGCCTCGAGCCTCGAGCCTCGAACCTCGGTCCTCGGCGTGTGCCCCCGCAGGCGCCCCGCTGCCGGACCACTGCGGGGGGAGAGAGAGAGAGAGAGAGAGAGGGCCCTCGAGGTTCGAGGGGCCTCTCTCTCGTCCCCTCCTGCTCCGGCTGTTGGCCCTCTGTCCTTGCTCCCTTCCTCGGTCGCGGTGCGCCGCTGTCCTTTCTCACTTCCGTCGCCTCCCCCACGGCAGACGGAAAGGGTTGGGCGGATGCGTGCCCGCGGGCTCCGAGGCGCCGGATTTCGCCTGCACTGCGCGTCTGGCAGCTGGCCTCCAGCACGGTGCGGGGGCTCGTCGATGACTGTGGACGGAGCTTTCGTGGGGACGCTCTGCCTCCTCCCTCCTCCCCCCTCTTGCAAGCGCGGCAAATCGCACGCGTGGGAGGGTCACGCAGTAGCGGGTGGCGCGTGAGCCAGGGCAGAGGCCCAGGAACGGTGAGCAGCCAAGAGAAGTCGGAGGGGAGGCTGCGGCTTGAAGGGCGAGTCCATGAAGATGAGCGTGTGCGGGGGCTACGACGTCGCCGGTGACAGCGCAGGATCGGTCTGGTGCGTCCGGCGTTGTCCGCCGTATTCGTGAGCCCTGCACAGTCACTCGATGCGTTGTGCCATACGGTGCGCAGACTTCCGCTGCCACTTTTGCAGCATGGGGCCGGTTCGGGTCGGTTCGACAGCGGGCCGGATCGGTTGTAGCGGTTCGGGTTCGGCGCCGGCCGCGGATCGGGCCCCCCCCAAAAAAAACATGAGCAGGAGGAGCTAGGAGGAGGAGGAGGAGGAGGAGGAGGAGGAGGAGGAGGAGGAGCTAGGAGGAGGAGGAGGAGGAGGAGGAGGAGGAGGAGGAGGAGGAGGAGGAGGAGGAGGAGGAGCGATGGCGGCGATGGCGAGGTCCGGGGGCCAGGTCGCCCACCCTCGAGCCGCGAGGGGTCCAGGGTCCGGTTCCTGGAGGGCATGGGGGTTCAGAAGTCCAGGTCCAGACCTCAGGCCTGGGCCCCAGGTCCGGACCTCAGGTCCGGAGGCCCGAAAACAGCTCGCCGAGGCCTTCCGTCGGGGAGCCGCCTCCGAGCTTTCTGAGGGGGGGGGGCCCTCTTGGGGCCCTCCGGGAGCGCCCTGGCGGAGCTCTCTTGGGCTGTTTCGTTGGGGTCCGAACAGGGCCCCAACGGATACTACAACGTACCCCTCTGTTATAGCATCCGTCGGGGAGCGTCTCGGAGCTCTCTGGGGAGCCTCTGGGGGCACTCTTGGTCCGTCTTGGAGCCCTCCTGGAGCCGTCGGCCGCTGGAACTTAACGGAGCCCGTCTTGGGGCCCTCTTGGGCTGTCCTGGAGGCCTCTTTGGCAGGCCGGTTTGGGTTGACCGTTCGGGCCGGCTTCGATCGGCCGGTTCGGTTCGAATCAGCCGATTCAGTTTCAGCCGGTCCGGTTTTGGCTTTGGTTTGGGTGGTTCGGTTGCAGGAGCGGCCGGCTCACGGTTACCAGTTCGGTTCAAACCCTTCCTGCTTATGTCAGAGTGCCCACTCGGAGCAAAGAGACACAACACAAACCCGGAGGCATTGCGAAGCTCAGACAGGTCTTTCCATGTTTCACTGGAAGTGCGCAGGTCAAGGTGCCCAGGAGGCATTGGCACATTCGTTGCCCAACAGAAAAGGCCCATGACCAGCGAATGCCTCCTCTTGCGAGCAGCAGAGGGTTCATGCTATCCCACCCACGGGTTGGTTTCATAGTTGGATCCAATCGTCCTGATAGCTTCAGTCCTTCTGGCGTGTTCTGCGTGGGAGGGCTCCTCATCCTCTTCCTCCTCCTCTTCCACCTCCTCCTCCTCCTCGTCCACCTCCTCCTCCTCCTCCTCCTCCTCCTCCTCCTCCTCCTCGGGTTCACAATTGCTTCAACCGGTTCCCGCCGTCATCCGCGCACTCGGGATCATGTGCTCCAGTGCCGTGCGACGTATCCTCCTGCCAGAGCAGAGCCGCAGCACGTCGAGCATCAACGCTGCCTTGGCGTTTTTTGGGGGCACGATGGCTTGAGCTATCGGGGCGGGCTGCGCGTCAGCTGGATTTACCCTTACGTGGGCATGTCCCTCTACATGAGGGATGTTCAAAGATAGTCAAACAATAGTCTGGGAACGATATTTCTACTACTTGTGGTTACTTTTGAATATGTTTGACAATGTTTTAATTTCCCTCCAGAATCCGCCTTTAGGAGGACATCCCATCATTCCTTCCTCCTCCCATGTTTATCCAATCGGCCTCTTCTATCAGTTCAGGCCGCCCCCCCCCTCCCGCATTCCCAAATTCGCGCCCCTCCCCTTCCCCTGGCTCTGCCCCGCTCCCTCCCCGCACTATTACGGACGTGTGTCCGTAGCTATTTGGGCTCGAGCGGTTCTGGCTCAAGACGCAAAACCACTCCTCAAGCCAGCTGGGCAGGACAGCCACCCGGCCTGGCGCTCGGGCCCGCGCGAAGGGTAATCCTCGCGCGCGGCCGGCGCCGCGTGCTGGGCAACCGTGACGGCGGGCTCTAGCAGGCAGCTGGCACGGCGGATCCAGCAGTGTTCCCAGGGCCGTGCCATGCTGGGAAGGCCCGTGCGGGCACGAGCGTGCCGCTTGCGCTGCCATCGCTGCGGCAAGCCTGCGCCGCAGATTGTTGCGGATGCCGCCTGGGCGGCAGCGAAGCGGCAGCGACGACAGACAGCGCCCACGCCAGGCCAGCCTGAGCAGCGGCCAGCAGCGCGGTGGCGCTGGCCAAGTGCCTGTCTCGGTGCCCCTAGCGATGAGTGGCTTCCGCGGCCCAGGCAGCCCACGCGGCCCAGGTGGCCAGAGTGCCCCAGGCGGCCCAGGTGGCCTGGGTCGTCCCGGTGGCTTGTGAGACTCCGTTGGCCAAAGCGCAAGGGGTGGGTAGCTCAGGCGGCCTGCGCCGCTTGGGCGCCCCGCGCTGCCCAGGCGGCCCAGGCGGCTGATGTGGCCAAGGGTGCGACCACGCGTCCGACGTTGCCCAGGTTGCTCTGGTGAATGGGGTGGTCCAGGCTGCTTTGCCCGCTCGCCGAACATGGGCAGCTACTTGTTTGCAGCTCCTTCTGAACCTTTTCCGTATCATCTAGATCCTTGGTCGTAGAGAAGAGCCACGATTTCCACGTTCTTGTTGACCTTCCACCATGTTCTCCTTTCCCCATCCTTCTCACTTCCTTCATGCCTCTCCCTTGCTGCAACTCTTCCTTGTCCCCTGCTCATCCCAAGCAGCCCCGCCCCGTCCATGGATTCGCCCTTGCTGCTGCCGCCAATGGTCCGGTGGTTCTGCCAAGGGTGCTGCTGCCCCAGCTGGTGTCCCTGCTCCCGGCCGTGCTGCGCTGGGGATCAGGAGGCGGTTGCCCGCACCAGCACGGCAAGTGCCTGGACGGCGACCACGGGAAAGGATGGGAAAGATGAGTGGAGAAGACAGTTGTGGGGGAGCCGCTTTGCGGCCAGCTCTTTCACGGAACCAGGGCACGTGAATCCGTCAAAAGAGTCATGGCACGGCTGGATCTGGAGACTCAGTCTCCATTCCGGTGACAGTAGAATTCGAAAGGAGGCTCCCCAGCTGAAGTGACCCCTCCAAGCGTTCCGTAGAGGAGAGGAGATTGGGCCAGCCCCCTCCGCTGAATCCTGCTTCCCCGAGGGACGCAAAAGAGGTTGAGCAGAGGGTGTTGGCCAAACCTTTGTGCTTTTGAAGCCTTTCAGGGTGGGATTCTGATACCATGTTTTTTATTGGATGGGCATGGCGGGCTTCGAGACCCCGCCAGATATGTCCAGCTTGTTCTTTGGGAACCTCCCCGTCGGGGGCGCAGGGTACAAAAAATACATTGGGTTGGGACTCCAGATCCGACTTTGCTGGGAGTCCAGAGGCTGTGCCCTTCGACCGAAGCGTGGGAGAAAGGAAGGAGCAAGGAAAATGATCGAAGAGTACTGGGGGATGGAAGAAGCAGTATCGCATTGCGGGGCAATGGCGGATGGAAGGCATTGCGGTGGTTGAAGTAACCAGGGAAGAGAAGCGTTGCAGCAAATACTATCGTACATAGCCATGGCGCAGACATTAATTATGGACCGTGGGGGTATGCGCAATGGCATCGAATACGTGACGCAGGGCCGCCGTATTTGAGTCCATCTATTTCGTGCACCTGCGCGTCCCTAGCACTCGGGGTAAGAAACAACAAATACCGCAAGCAGACGCTACAGGGTTTCGTCTCTGCACAAGAGCGTGCGACTTGTACATCTGCACTTCGCCCGCACTGTAGCAGACATCCTGCTTGCTCCCCACCCGAAAGGTTGGGGTCGTTAGATTTTATGAACAGACCTCCCGACCCGCCCGCCCTGCATAGCGCGGCCGCCAGATCCCCAGGCTCCCAATAATCCCTGGCTGTCCCGCCGCCCCCCCGCTCTACATACCCCAGCCGCCAGATCCCCAGGCTCCCAATAATCCCTGGTGGTCCCGCTTTTTTCCGCCCTGCATACCGCGGCCGCCAGATCCCCAGGCTCCCAATAATCCCTTGCGGTCCCGCCCCCCTGCGCCGACTCGCCCACTCTGCATACCGCGGCCGCCAGATCCCCAGGTCCACCACAGAACAGAGCAGAAGACCACACCGCCGAATAGAACAGATCCGAGCATTACGTACCATATCTTGACAGACCAGATCGTAACATGACACACCATAACAGAGCAGCGCATACCATCACAGCCCATATAATTCCATAGCATCACACATCAAGCATGCCATAACAAATCAACGCAGAACTGAACATGCCAAAACCGAACATGCCACTTTATCACATAGCATGGCATAGCATAGCACAGCACCGCACAGTATAACAACACATGCCATCATATATGGGGTCATATATGTATATCATAGCACAACATATCATAACACACCATGGCATACAGGGGCTTCCCATACTGCATCATGCCCGAACAAACCACACCATAACACACCATCACCTCACATATCATCGCACACCGTGACAACTCACGCCATGACAGAACGCGACATCGTTTGCCATGTCAGAGCAAAACATAGCATGCCATAACACCATCAGCTGTGACAGAGTTGATCGCACAGAACATAGCATACCACCGCACCTCACAACACAAAGTAACAGCATAACCTGACACACCATGACAGACCATACAATACCATAACATACGCCGAAGGTTTCGGTGGGGATCGGTCGACGCAAAATAAGCAAGCATGGCTGTGCAACTGTTTGATCGCTTCGCTCATTCTGCCAGCCTCTATGTGGCATCGCTGGCTTTTGTCCGCGCGTTCGTTGCCCATGTTGCGCGGCTGGGCGGTAGTAGTTTCCCAGCGGCGTTGCGCGAGCAGTCTTGCAGGTAAAGCAGTTATTGAGTAGTTGTTTCTGGGGGGCTTGTTTGGGGGCCGCCATGTGTATATGGCACAATCGTGAGTTGGGCTTGTCACCCATGGAGCTGGGCTTATTAACCATTGAGTTCCGCTATTGGGCCATTCGAGTGCTTACTTGGGGTCCGTTTGCGACTCTGTTGGAATTTCTGGGGGGCGGTTTGTTGCTCGCGCGAGGATGTTGGGGGTTGCGGATCTACATATACACATATGTGTATGTATATGTATGTACAGACTTGTCTGATGGTTCCGTTTACGCTGTGAACGAACACGCCTACGTGTATAACAGCCCATGCATCATCACGTGTAGGCACGCGGTTGTTGCCAGATGATGTTCATTGTATGTTCCAAGCCAGTTCCTGGTTGGCAGCGAGACATGATGGCCACAAGATACACCGCCCCTCCGACAATCTGCCAGTGCACACTCTTAGCTCTGCCTTCGCTCGATGAGCGCCTCGCTTCTTGTTTCTCCCCGGACGATCAACAGAACACTGTCGCCACCTGCACAGCTGGTGGCAGCTACGGCCGACATCTTTCGGCGACTCGGCGGCGGCGACGTTTCTGCTGGTTGTAGCGCAGTCTCCGAGCCGCATACCACCTCTCCTCTTGCTCCTTCGCCAGATGGCGAGGCGGGTACACGCAACCGTCGGTCGCCGTCCGCGTAGCGGGAACAAGCTCGGTAGAAACGCTACGGCAGTCAACGAAATCGTTCGTTGTCAACTAGCTATGCGTACAGCACGCGCCTGTCAAATAGCTATGCGACAGTCACGCACATACAGACGTGAGTTCGCCTGTATGTGCGCGCTTGGCGAAGTCCTTCGACCGCCAGATTGTTTCGGAAGGGATGTCCATCGTCAGGCATTGTTTCGCGTTCTCCCCAGATGGCTCACCCCAGCGACTTGCACTAGCGGACCAGCCTCTTTCTTCAGCTTGCAGAGAGAAAGTGTTGCCCAGACGGGTCGCCAACGCATCGTTGCTTTCGGCGGCGAGAAGGGGGGAAATGAGAAGGAGAAGGCTGTCTCAGAAGGCGGCGGGACTTCTCAGAAGCCCTCGCGCCTTCTGAGAAGTTTTTTGTCTTCGGGGAAGGCTTAGAAAACTTCTCAGAAAGCCGGGGGACTTCCGAGCCTTCTGAGAAGGCCTTCTCCTTCTCACCTCCCCCCTCGCTCGCCGCCAATGCTTGTCTTAGCGCGCTCATGTGGGATGGGAGTTCTCGAGCATGCGTGCGTTTTGCGGCAGGCGAGGAGATGCACCTCGGCATGTGTTACAAAAAGTGTTCAGACTTGACCAAAGGCAAGTACAAGCACCGCGTGGCAATCCGCCCCCCGCTGACAGGGGTAGCAAGTTGACGACAACAAGAGTACGGCCGAGAACGAATGAGAAAATAGATGAGGTGGACAAGACGGAAGAGGGAACACACTATGATCCACAGACGCACTGATGAGGCCTGAGGAGGCGAGGCAGGGGATGCCAGAAGAGGTAAGAGGACGTAAGTGGCAGCAGCGGTCGGTGTAACTCATTGGGTAGCACGGAGGAGTGATGTTCCGTCAGATATTGTTTTGAGACGTATTGAAAAAGTGACGAACCGGTTATTTGGAACAAGGGTTGCATGATCTGGTAGAACCCAGGGGCGGGCGCTTTCCATCTCATTCAACCTGAGCGGATCTTACTGAGCCCTGACCATTCCGCCCCGCCAGTCACGCTTGCTCCAGATGCCAAGTCTGTTTGCGTTGGCTGTGTGCACGCGCGAATCTCATCTTGTATACCACTGGCATGCAAGAGTGCATGAGTGCATGTGAATGCGTGGCCAGTTCAGACTTGGAAGTAGTAAGGCAGGCAGTAGCACAGCGATCCCGACCGCCTGGCTGTTTGTAGTCGTGAATCATTTCAGCTTGGCTTGCCAGGCGCAAGTTTCCGAGGCGTGCCAGGCGTCGCAGCGCAAACGTCCCCGTAAGTTCCCCCGTCCCCCTCCCACACCGCCCTGCATTTCCCAAACGCCCCCCGGCCCACTTTCCATATTTCGCTTCACTTCCCAATGGACGCACCCACCCCTCCCTTGTCATGTCGTACGGATCCACATATTCGCCTCCTTCCCCACTCCGTGTGCTTCCTTTGCCCTCTGTCCTTCACCGTACCTCCTTTCTCTTTCTCTCTCTTACTCTCTCTCCCTGTCTATATATATATATATATACACATAGGTCTCTCTCTCTCACTCTCTCTTTCTTTCTCCCTCTCTCACTCTCTCTCTTTCTCTCTCTTTATATGTTTTTTGTTTTCCCTCTCTCTCTCTCTCTCCCTCTCTCTCTCGCCGCCACATGCTCGCAATCTGTATAGCCATGACACGGCTTTAACGCCTTGACCCTGGCCGCAAGAGGCCCTATGTTGGTGGTATCATACCCTCCTCCTCCTCCTCCTTCTCCTTCTTCGGCCTCTTCGGGTCTCCTGGGCACCTCTTGGGGCCGTCTTGGGGCACCCTTTGGGGCCATCCTGGGTCCATCTTGGAGGAGATCGACCAAAGAAGGAGCTGTACTCAATTGCCCCCCGCCCCTCCGCATCTTTCCCTGCTCCCTCGTTCCTGCTTCCTTCCTCCTTCCTCACTCTCCCTCCCTCCCCTCGCTCCCCCCATCCCTTCGATCTCCATCCGTCCATCCCTGTGCCGTGTTTGGTCCCTCCCTCCTTCCATTCCTCCTCCACCCCTCCACGGCGCACGAGGCCGCGTCGACGTGCTGCAACACCGCCGGCTATCACTGTTTCGGCATGGGGAGACTTGCATATCCTCCTTTTCCTTCCCCTCATCGTTCCTTCTCGCCCTCATTTCTCGTGCCCTCGCCAGTCGGTAACAACACCATTTGCGCCCGAAGCCTCCCCTGAAAACAAAAGATGCGCCCGAGCCGACGAGAAACACGCCCATTGAAAACACGGCAGGGGCATCCAGCTTACACATCCATCAGCACCGGAAGTTAAATCTCAAACGTCCGACTGCCCCAATCCGTCGAGTGGCCCTTTCTTCGTCTACGAACGTAGCCCCTTTGACTTAGACCGTGAATTACCTACCCCGCTTTCGCTTCCTGGCAAAACCAAATTATACCACGCGCCTCCTCGTCAAGCGGCCTGACCAGTACAGGCCGCAGTTTGGCATCGCTTGGTATCTCTTGGAAGCGGGGGTGGTCAAAAGCGAGGTAGGTCTGTTTTCCCCCATATTGACGGGGCTCCTTTCTTGGATGCCGGCTGCTGGGTGAACCCCGGCGGGATAAGACGAGCGGGTCGGGCGGGCGGACCCCGCGTGCGGGTGAGGCAGGCGGGCCCCGGCGGGCGGGCCGGGCGGGCGGCCCCTGGCCGGCGGGCTCGGCTGGCGGGACATGGGCCTCCCTCCCCCCCGTCTCCCTCCTCTCCGTATCCCCGCCTCCCTGTTCTCCCTGCTCTCCTCGGGGGAACAGAAAGTGGCATGAACATAAAAACTCGGAGGTCCGCGCGGATTTCTCGGATCGGCGCTGGGGCCCCCGGCGGCGCCTCCGGCGGGGGTCCAGCGCCGATCCGAGAAATCCGCGCGGACCTCCGAGTTTTTATGTTCATGCCACTTTGTGTGCCCCTACTCCTCCCTCCCGGTACCAGGGAAGCGGTGCAGCGGTGCCTCTCGGAGCGCGCGCCGAGGATGAGAGCTCCCCCATCGCTGCAGAGCAAGCGCTTCAGTTTCGCTGGGTGCGATGGAGCTTGCTCCATTCTCTGCTACAGCCCAATGCAGCCTCTCCTCCCTTCCGCGTACAGGGCAGAGCAGTGGTTGGTCGTGGCACCCCGTCGCGGGCCCTGGTCAGAGTGCGTGGGAGCTCTGTCATCCAGGGTAACAGGTCCCTCCCTGAGGGGTGCCATTGACCTCCAGGTTCAGACTCGCGAGTCTCTTCCCCTTGGGGCTGTCCTAACCTAACCTGGCGCAGGCGGGCGGGCGGGCTCCCAGGCAGGGCGAACGGGCGGGTCATGACGGGTCGGGCGGGCAGGCCCCCAACGGGCACGGCCGGGACGGCGGGCGCGGACCCTGACGGCCAGGAGCAACGACAAAGGGGGCGATAGGCACAGGGGGGGACGCATCGATCTCAGGAGGGGAAAATACACACAGACACAACTGATTGTCGATCCCCCAGAACATATGGAAAATATAGGAAGCGGGGGAGACGAAAACCCAACAAATTTTGAAAGGGATGGGGAATCCTGTTGTTCGTGTGTAGTTATTTGTGTGTCCCTTGGCCCCTTCACGATCCCCAATCGCCCATGGATCGCCGATGGGAGCCCGATAGCCCCACCCAGATCAGGAACGCGCGGGTTCACTATTCGGGGGCCTGGTGCCGATCCATCGGGCGATGTATCGCCGATCCCAGGACGACGTGTCCCCCCCTGTGCCAGTCCCCCCCCCGATGGTGAACCAGCCCTGGGCCTGCCGCTGGCATGGAGGCCACCCCTTGCGGCCGCTGCTGCTGCTGTCGTCGCCGTCGCCGTCGTCGTCGCCGCCGCCACAGCAGCCGCCGTCGTCGTCGTCGTCGTCGTCGTCGTTGCCCCTCAGGCGGGTCGGGCGGGTAGAACCCCCAACGGGCGCTCGGGGCCGGCGGGCGGATCCTGACGGGCGGGCGGGGGGCGCGGGACACGAATCATGAGGGAGGAAAGAAGCACAGACACATCTATGCGTCGATTCCCGTGATGAAGCTAGAGAAAAATAGGGGGCACGGAGAAGAAGAGGGAAATCCAACCGATCTTTTTTGAAATGGGGATCCTGGATGTGCTTCCGTTTGTGTCCCCCTGGGCCTTTTGGATGAAAGCGGGCGGGCGGCGAGGAAGTCCCAGGCGAGAGATTCGGTCTCGGATGGCGAGGGCATTCTTAAGCTAGTTGTCTGCATTTCCCAGGCGAGACCGCATTTGATGAGTAGTAATCTAAGACGCCTACGGCGAATCACCGCCACCCCCTGCCTTTCTGGAAGCGCCTAGGTGGCCGAACGTTAAGGCCAGACCTGCCAAGCTATCGGACCATGTGTTCCCCGAATCGGTTTGGAGAGCCTTCGGGGAACACGTGGGCATCTTGAAAGTCATCTTGGCCGCCTTGAGGCCATTTTGACCCTTTCGGGCCTTCTTGGAGGACGTCTTGGAGGGCTCTTGGGCCGTCTTGGAGGCCATCTTGAGCGTCTTGGTCTTGGGCCCTCTTGGGGGCCTCTGGGGGCCGTCGTGGGCCTCTTTGGGCGATCTTTGGGTGCACTTGGGCCGTCTCGGGCCGTCGGAAGACAGAAAAAGCAAATGCCACAATCCTTCAAAAACTCATGGGAGATCAATGATTTTGACCTTTTCGGCCCTTCCGGAGGCCCTCTTGGAAGCCTCTTGGGCCGTCTTGGGCCATCTTAGGGCCATCTTCGGTCGCTTTAGTGGGCTCCTGGCCCGTCCGACGCCGTCGGAAGCCGTTTGGGGGCCCCTCTGGGCCGACTTCGGGTTCTCTTGGAATGCTCCAGGGCCGTCTTGGAGGCTATCTTGGGCGTCTTAAAAGCCTCCTGGGCCGCCTTGGGGGCCTCTCGGGCCGTTCTGGGCCAAACACTTTCAAAAACGTTAGAAAAAACATGTTTTTGGCCTTCCTGGAGGCCCTCTTGGAGGCCTCTTGGGCCGTCTTGGGCCATCTTAGGGCCATCTTCGGTCGCTTTAGTGGGCTCCTGGCCCGTCCGACGCCGTCGGAAGCCGTTTGGGTGGCCTCTCTGGGCCGACTTGGGGCTCTCTTGGAATGCTCCAGGGCCGTCTTGGAGGCCATCTTGGGCGTCTTGGAGGCCTCTTGGGTCGTCTTTGTGCCCTCTTGGGGCCGTCTTGGTGGCCTCGTGGGAAGTCCTGAGGCCATCTTGGAGGCCTCTTGGGCGCTGTGGGGGCGATTTTGGGTTCCTCTTGGGACGTCTTGGGTCGTCGGAAAGCCGAACAGGAGCAAATACGAACATCCTTCAAAAACCTAAGGGAAATCAAAGATTTTGGCCTCTTCGGGCCCTCCTGGAGGAGCTCTCGGAGGCCTCTTGGGCCATCTTGGAGGCCTCTTGGGCACCTCTTGGGCCGTCTTGGGCCGTCTTGGAGGTTTCTTGGGCGGACTTGGAGGCATCTCCTCCTCTCTTGGGCGGACTTGGAGGCCATCTTGGACCATCTTGGAGGCCATCTTGGGCCATCTTGGCCGTCTTGGAGGCCATCTTGGCCGTCTTGGAGGCCTCTTGGGGCCTCTTGGGGCCGTCTTGGGGGCCTCTTGGGCCGTCATGGGGCCATCTCGGAGACCTCGTGGGCGATCTTGGGGCGATCTTGGGGGCCTCTTGGGCCGTCTTGAGCCGTCGGAATGCCGAGAAGAAGCAGATCCCAGAATCCTTCAATAACCTAGGACAATCAATGATTTTGGCCTCTTCGGGCCTTCCTCGAGGACCTCTTGGAGGCCTCTTGGGCCGTCTTGGAGGCCTCTTGGGGGCCTCGTGGGCCGTCTTGGGCCATCTTCAGGCTATCTTAGGCCGTCTAGGGTACATCTTGGGCCGTCTTGGAGGCATCTTGGGGCCATCTTGGCCGTTTTGGAGGCATCTTGGCCGTCTTGGAGATGGGGCCGTCTGGGGCAGGAATACCGTTGGCAACCGGGTCTTCCGGGTGGCCGGCGGGACGGGCCGAAGCCCCAGGGGGAGTTCTTTTGGAAAAGGAACCAAAACCAAAAGCCTTTAGAGCCATATCGTCTGGCACGCCAGGCACCCCTTTGATAAATAAATCAAAAGGGGGCGGCGGATCGAATGGCTTTCGGTCCATCCCGCCACCGTGCCTGGGTTGTGGGCCAGAGGCCTCTTGGATGCAGATTAGGGTGTCTTGGGATGCCCCTCGGGGACTTCTCGGGTTCACGTTTGGAGCCTCTCTAGAGCCTCTTGGCGGCCTCGTTTGGAGGCGAGGGCGCAGTTGTTGAGTAATTCATCGGGGGAGGTCTCGGGCGAGAGCACGGTTCCTGGGCGGCGGGAGCGGGGTCTGTGGTACATGATACGGAACTGTCCGCAGCGAGAGCGAGAGAGAGAGAGAGAGAGAAAGAGAAAGAGAGAGAGAGCATCGAGTAAGTCGGACAGAAGTCTCGGGCGAGAGTTCGATTCCTAAGCAAGTTGCGTGAAGTATCAGGCGGACGCCCGAGTAGTTTCCTGACAAAAAAGAAACAAAATAAGGGAAACAAAAGTTAAACAGCCGCGAGAGCTTGAATTCGATTGAGAAGGGCACGTGGGGACATGACGGGGGAAAAGCAAAACATGTTGTTCCGAGGTGAGAGCTCAACAAACAACAAAAGCAGCAGCAACGGCAACGACAACAATCATGATAAGATTGCTCGCTCTTCGGCGCTCTCGTGCCATCCAACATGCATGCCCCAAACACTCGATACCCGCCGTCTTCGTCTTCGATGGTAACCCCCTTTGGGGGTGCATCCACCTCGCCTGCCACGTGCAGTCGGCGTGGCCCCTGAAGTATGAACAGGAGGGGGAGGAAGGAGCAAGGGACAGCGAGGAAGAAAGGAGGAAGCGAGAAGGGAGGGGGGCAAGGGGGAAGGAGGAGGACTGAGGACGGAGATGATTGCGAAGGCCTTACGGCTGGTGCCGCCAACCCTGAAGGGAGACGACGACGACAAAGGAAGGGGGGCAAGAGGGAAGGAGGAGGACTGAGGACGGAAAGGATTCAGGAGGAGGGCGAGGAGAGAGGAGCAGGGGGCATTGGCGGGCAGACCCTGACGGGCGGGGCCGGGCCGGCGCACTCCAGTGGCGGGTGGGCGGGGGGATCTGAGTGGACGGGCAGTTGCTGGCGCTCTGCAGGGCAACAATGTGTGCGGCGGCGCGGCGACGCGGCGCTGGGTGAGCAGGGCGCAGGCTGCTGCTCCCAGGAGGGAGACAAAGAGGTCTGGAAGTTGACCTCCTGCGGGCTCGCGGGGTTCTGCCTGGACCGCGTCGACGCGACCGATCGGTATCAGGACGTCGATGTACGCGGTAAGCAGCGACAGGGTAAGACGAGCGGGTCGGGCGGGCGGGCCCTTCTGGCGGATCAGGCAGGCGCGCCCTGCCCTGAGGTGCGGGTCGGGCGTGCGGGCCCCGACAGGCCGTTCGGGCTGGCGGGAAACTAGAGCAGGATGGCTGTCGGGCTCCGACGTAAGCGAACGGGCGGGCCCTGGCGGGCAGGTCGGGCGGGCGGGCCACAACGGGCAGGTCGGGTCGGGTGGGCGGGGCATGCAAGCAACAGAACATTGTATTCATCGGTGAGTCGTGGGGCAGCCCCGTGCAAAGGCGCTCCTCATGGGCGTCGAGGGCGCAGCGCATGCACAATCTGTGCAACGTCGTCCTTCGACGCCGATTCGGATTCACGGAGCGCGGTGACGTGTACCCGGCCCGCCCCCGGCCGCGCCCGCACGCTCCGCCGACGGGCTGGCGGCTGCGCCAGAGGCGAGCGACGGTTGCGGGCCAGGAGCTCTGGACATCTGTCCCTGCTCACTGCCGCGGTTGGGTCCCCCCCCCACCTTCCTCGGCGACTGCGACTCCTCCTCCGCATCCTCCTCGGCAGGGGCAGGCGCGGCTCGGCAGGCCGAGAGGGGGGTTTGAGAGGGGGCGAGGCAGAGCAAAAGACCCGGCAGTCCCAGCGTCGAGCCCGCGGCGGCCTGGGGCCTCAGAAGCAGGCGCAAAAAACAAACAAACAAACAAACAAACAAACAAACAAACAAACAAACAAACAAACAAACAAACAAACTCAACATGACACACTCATACACACGCGCACACACACGCACACAAACGCCAAGCAAACAAGTAATATGTATACATGTGGGGCGTTCCAAAAAGGGCCTTGCCTTCGAGGATCGCAGGAGTTATCATCCATTCCGCGGCGGAAGGCCACGGGAAGTCGGCGGAAGGCGGCGGAAGTAAAACGAGGTCGCCTCCGCCGGCGGAAGCCGAGCGGAAGCTAGGCAGAAGGCGGCGGAAATAACAAATGTGCCTCCAAGAGAAGAAAGCGTTTTGGGGTTCAGGGTTTCTGAAATCCCCCGCATGTGTATATTCCCTTCTCTATATGTTTATAATCTGGGACCCTGCGACCCCCCCCCCCCCCCAAACGGGACCCCTCCAGATACTTGGCTCCAGGGGCACCCTGGACGCCCTTGGAGACGGTCCCCTGTGCTTTCCAGGGCTCCTGAAGCCTGGAGCCCAGAGAGGCTCCAGACACCCACCAGACGCCCGAAGACGACCCAAAGAAGACCCCCCACGAGGAATTCGAAACGCCAAAAACATTGATGTTCTATGGTTTCTGTGTCATTTGAGGGATTCTCAGTTCTTCGGTCTTCGGGGCGTCCGAGACCGCCCAGGAGGCCAGAGCATCGCCCCAAATTTAACCAAGAGGGCTTCCAGTCGGTCCTAGGGGAGCCCCAAGACGGCCCAATAGGGCCCAAAGATGGCCCGAAGACAGCCCCATGACGGCGCAAGATGGCCCCAAGACGCCTCCCGAATCATTCCAAATCATGACCCTGTCGTTCAGGGAGACCGCGGTTGGAAGCAGGGTGGCCGGAGGAAGCCCCCCAGAGGCCCCCAGAAAGAACCCAGGAGCTTCAGAAGGCCCCAACAAGCCTTTAAAAACATTCGTGAGACTTACAAGAGGCTCTCATAGGAGGAGCCTCTACAAAAAGATCTGAGGATGGGGGGGGGGATTCGTAGGGTAAGGCGAGAATGGGGAAGAGGAAGAGGAAACATGAGGGAAGGATAACGAATAACAGTATGACAACGATGATGCCAGAAAAGGCAACAACACGTTATCGCAAAATGTTCCGTTTTATCTGATGGCTTTCCTGCCTGCTTGCCAAGCTTTAAGGACCAAAGTGCACGGCGCGCCAATGCAGTCTTGTACATATCTGTGTAGATATACAGGTGTAGATGTAACAAAAGGAAGCCTACAAGACTACGCAGCCGCCTCGCCCCTGGCCGCCGTGGCGCGTCCGCGCCGCGGCCCCCCCCTGTCGGGGGGGAGGGGAAGCGACGCCACCAGCACCAGGGGGAGCACCTCCAGCGCGGAGGTCCACGATGCGTCCCCGAGCTGGGGCCTGGGGGTGCCTCGAGCGAGGGGGGGGGGGGGGACGACACCACGAAGGGGGCCCCCTCCTGGCTTCTCCAGCCGGTGGTCTCTCCTGGTGGTGGTGGTGCCGTTCTTCCATGCGCCTGCAGTCGAAGCCGAAAGTAAGGATGAGCGACTTCCCTACCCCCTTTCCTTCTGCTTCTCGCCCCTCCCCTCCCCCCTCTCCCCTCCCCTCCCCCTCTCGCCCCCTGTTCCCTCGCGACCCCACCCTCCCCCCTTCTTCCCTTCTCCTCCCCCCGTCGCCCCCTTTCCCCTCGCCCCCCCCGCCCCCCCTGTGGGTACCATTGCATCCTTGCACCTTCGGACATCTTCGGCCCATCCTCAACCACCTTCGATGGCCCGACGCGCTCGAAACGCTTCGACAGGGGCGCCCAAGGCCCTTACACCCTTACCGCGCATCCTGACGATCAGTCTTGACTGTGCCCTGGGGCCCCTCCCCGCCCGCGAGCCCTGGACGCCCTCGCGCGGCCAGCTGCCTCGCCTGCCATGGCCCCGGCGCCCCGCGCGCACGCGCGCGGGGTGCTCGCCGTGCTGGCCACGGGCGCGGCGGCCGCCGCGGAGGCCGTGGGCGTCCGCGTGCTGGCGGGCTCGGACGTCGGCGGGGCCCTGGCGGACGTCGCCAGGCTCGGGGAAGTTCGAATCCATTGAAGAAGGAAAACACGCCATAAAGATAAACTGTTGGCGCCACGCGCGGATTTCTTGGATCTGCGCTGGGCCCCCCAGCGGCGCCTCTGGCGCCGCCCCTGGCGCGCTCCGCGCGCCATGGAGGGGGTCCGGCGCGGATCCAAGAAATCCGCGCGGAGCGCCACAAGTTTATGTTTATAGCGTGCTTTCTTTCTTCTTCTAGGAAGATCGAGTACAGTCAGCACTGATAGCTAGGGATGAGCGACTTTCCAAGGTTTCCCTTGCATCCGTCCCCCTCGGCCCATGCATGGCCAGTTTCGTTGGCCGCGACCCGCTTGGAAAGTGTCGGGGCCTTCCAAGGCCCTTGCATCCTTATCGTGCATCCTTGCTATCACCTTCGGCTGTAAGTAAAACTTGAACAGACATATGAGGCGTTCCAGAAAGGCCTTTGCCTTCGAAGATCGGAGGAATTGGCATCTCTTCTTCGGCGGAAGCCGGCGGAAGCAAAAAGCAGGCGGCTCCGCCGGGGGAAGCCGGGGGAAGGCCAGCGGGAACCAGCGGAAATAAAGGATGCGCCCCGAAGAGATGGGAACATTAATCGGCCATTCAACCGTTTCGAGCTCCGCGCGGATTTCCTGGATCAGTGCTGGACCCCCCTCCCTGGCGCGCGGAGCGCGCCAGAGGCGCCGCCGGGGGGGCGCAGCGCCGATCCAAGAAATCTGCGCGGGGCTCCGAAAGTTTTTTTTTGGCGGATGTTTCTTGATCCTCCTGGAAGAAGAACGTGCTTACGACCGATTGCGAACCGTACCCCAACGGGTCCACTCGACGCTGGGGGTATTGGACACCCCCGTTGGGGTTCACCTGGTCATGGTTGTCTTATTCATTATTTTGCCGATCGGCGCGGGCCCTCGCACGCCCGCCCCCATGGAGTAGATCGTGGCTGTTTTTTGGCGCCTGTTTCAAGCAGGTGGAGTAAGCGCGGGGGGGCCCGCCTCTCCCCCCCCTCTGGTGGACATGCGAATCGCTGTGTTCGCGCGGCTGTTTTCGGGGCGGCCCGCGGGAAAAATAATACAGGGGCTCCAGGGCGCTGGATGCGTTGTAAAAAAATCACCCTGGGGTGCAGCCAGTCGTTGTGGGATCTTCTGGGCTTGCAGGTCCTGAAGATTCACATCGAATTCCAAATAGTTTCTACTTGGATGCGGATTCCTCCGTTGGATCTCCCCAGAAGACTCCCCCATTGGATTTCACCATGGGACTCGGAATGGGATTCCCCCACGAGATTCCACCATAGGATTCCCCCCAGAAGATTTCCCCACTGGACTCACACATAGGATTCCCGCATAGAACTCCCACACAGCATTCCCAAGATTCCCCTATCGGATTCCCCATAGGATTCCCCTGTGAGGGCTCCCTCCATACGACGCCCCGATATGGTTTCCGCTGAAGGTTCGCCCAAGAAGGCTCCCCCAGAGAATCCCCTGTAAGATTCTCCATTGGACGCCCACGTAGGACTCCCACATCAGATCTCTTTATACTTCCATAGGAGCCCCCCTCTGTTTCAATCTGTCGCGCTAGGTAGGGGTCCGGAGCCACCCCCCCACCCCTCATCCAATGTCAAAATGCCGAATAAGAAAACGTTCACCTGCCTGCAGACATCCTTCGAACTCTGACCCCCAGCGGGCGTTTCAGACCTCTGACCTGCAGGGGGCAGAGTTTGTAGGTGGTTGTTGAAGGAGGCGGCAGAAGCATTGAGGTTTCGGATGTCCGCGCGGATTTATTGGACCCGCGCTGGGCCCTCCATAGCGGCGCCTCCTGCGCCGCACCTGGGGGGGTTGCTTCGGCGCCGATCCGAGACAACAGCGCGCGCCTCCGACAGCCACAGATACACGCCGATTATGGTGTTAGAGACAAATCAACGTCGATTGCCAGGAGAACATGGGAAGCGTGGGGGGGAAGTCGAGCATCGAGAAACTGTTGACAAGGATTGGAGATCCTGGGATTTGTGTCTGTTTATCTGTGTGTCTCTGGGCGCCTTCGTCCCTGGCGGCGCCTCCAGCGCCGCTCGCTCGCTCGCCGGTTCTGGTGCTGTGCTGCTTCCTCCGCAGGCGGCTCCTTGGCGCCTACACGGAGGCGCGCGGGGCCGGGGGGGGGGACTCGGGGGGCCCGGAGGTGGCACAGCGGAGGCCCGTGCCAAGACACGCCCTGCTTGCCTCCACCCCTGCCAAGAAATTCTCCCATGGCACAGGTGGCAGCTAATTGCATCCTCGAAGGCAGGGCCCTGTTTGGAGCGCCCCACTTGGCACCCGAGGCAGCACCGCCAGGCAACGCCGCAGGGGGCGTGTTTCTGCAGACCCGCGGGTTTCGGCAAGACCCGCGGGTTTGGGAAAATGCGGGCCAGGCGAAGGGTCCCACCTCCCCACCGTGGCAGGACTGGCTGCCTCGACACAGATACAGTGGAGGCCCATGCCAAAACACACCGTGCTTGCCTCCAGGGTGCCCTCGGTTTCTTGGGTTTCAATGGTTTCGTGATGGAGGGCGTGACGTTCCCACACCAAAAATCCATGGACGTCCTCGGGTCTCAGGGTTGGGTTTCTCGTGGAAGCTTTCTTGTGGTCAGGCCTCCACTGTGGCCGCCCGAGTGCTCAGGGCCGCCTAAGCAACAATTCTGCGTTTCTCAAGTTCGGCGGCGAGCAAGGAGGTGAAGTGGGAAGGAGAAGGCCTTCTGAGAAGGCTCGGAGGCCCCCTTGCCTTCTGAGAGGTTTTCTAAGCCAGCCCCGAAGACACAGAAGACCTCTCAGAAGGTCGGAGGGCTTCTGAGAAGCCCCGCCGCCTTTTGAGAAGGCCTTCTCCTTCTCACGTCCCCCCCTCGCTCGCCGCCAGTTATGGCGCTAGACAAATCGCTCATTATGGTGTCAGACACAGATCAACGTGGATTCCAAGGAAAACTGGGAAATATGGGAAGGGGGAGGAAAGGCGAACATGGAGGAAATATTGACAAATACTGGGGCTCCTGGGACTTGTGTCTTTTTAATTGAACGCCCCAGATGGGGCAGACACCGCCGCCCCACCTATGGATCGTGGATTTCGCGACATGCTTATTATTGGGCTTCTCTGCGGTTCGCTTGTATCCACGATTGGAGTCTGGTTCCCGTTGGGCTTCTGTTGTCGTGACGGCTGGGTGCACCCGCAAATATTGTCCCACGTGTGCAGCCACATTGTTGTGAGGGGGTCAGGCCTTCCTGGGGGCCCAACGTTTCGGCGATAGCACGTTGGAAGATAGGCTTCTTTGTGAACTTCATGTGTGTGTCTCTTGGGAGGTTTTTCGGGGGCTCTGGGCGGAATACGTGGCGGCCCTCCTCGCGGCGCGTCGGTGGCATTCGGGGGGATCCCCACGGGGCGTCTTGGGGGCATTTTGGGGCGTCAGATCTCCAGCCCAGGAGCGGCCAGAACGATCCGAAGAGCTTGGCCTATCCCCAGCTCGTGCTCTGCGTTCTTTCTCTCTCTGCTCTGTCCTCGCGCCAGCTGCTGCCTCCTCGCGGTCGCTGCTCTTGCAGACTTGTCGTCTCTCCTGCGTAGGGTGCGCGCGCCTGCCCTGCTGGCCTCTGGGCGCGCGCCCTCGTTCCCTGCCGCCGTCGCCGCTCGCTCGCCTCCCCCCGCGCGGCCGGCGCCCTCCGCCTTCCCGTCCTCTTCCACCGCGAGAGCGCTGAGAACCAGAATCCTGGGGGCCCTCTCTGGCATCGATCCAGCTGCCTGCGGCAAGTCCCGCCGCTGAGCCGGTCCATCATGTTCGACGGCTCTCGTTCGAGAGGGCATCGGAGGGCGTGCTCGCGAGCGATGAGCGACATGATAACGACGATGAGGACGCGGATGAGGATGGCGATGACGATGGTGGTGCTGATGATGACGACGATGATGGCCAGGATGATGATGATGCTGATGATGATGATCAGGATGATCATGATGATCATGATTATGAACATGATGATGATCATCATGATGATGAGGATGATGATGATGATGCTGATGACGGTCTGATGATGCTGATGATGATGATGATGATGATGATGATGATGATGATGATGATGATGATCATGACGTTGATTGTTGGGATATCATGGGAGGCCCCACGGTGTCCTGTCGGAGGCAGTTTTGAAATCTCTTAGAGGTTGTTTGGATTTGTTGGGGCTCTGTTGGGGCGCGTGGGGCTTGGAGCTCTCCCGCGGTTTTTTGGATACGGGATTCGGGTTCATCGGGACTCTGCTGGGGCTCCGCTTGGGGCCATTTTGGAGGGTCTTTGAGGGCCCTCTTGGGAGCTCCGAGGAGGCTCTTGAGGTCATGTTGCACAAGAGTTGTCACAGCATTGGAGCGAACTATGGAATCGGGACCGGGGGAAACACTTCTTCAGGTGTGTTTTTTGGCGCCTGGAAGGGCTCCCAGGGGCTCCCCGGAGGTGCCCGAAACATGCGAAAGAGGCGCCAAGAAGAGGCCTGGACGGCCGAAGAGGGCGCTGTGGCGTTGTCAGGACGGCCTCAGGCAGCATCCGCAAGTTCGAAGATGACCGCAGGAGCCCGCGGAGATGCACGGGAGCCCAAAAGAGGCGGTAGGAGCAGCCCGAGATGGCCAGAGTCGTTGACATCCCATGTGATTTACAATGTTTATTGCTTGTTGGGATGTGTGGGCAAATGAGACCTGAAAAGAGGTGGAGAGGCAACCAGAAACGGCCGAAGGTGGCCAGAAGGGCGGTCCAGATCAGCCGAGAAGAGCCCAGGGAGGCCCCCAAGACCGGCCAAAAAGGTTCCCGAAGAGGTCGCTGAGAGGACCTGGCGGCGCCCGGAAACCCAGCACGTGAAAGGGGGTCGTTTTGCGACGGAGGTGGTGGCCAAAACGCGCCCTGGGGCGCAGCCAGGACCCTCGGGCCGGCGGAGTGAGCGGGTTCTGGGGAGGACTGGGAGAGGTCGTGAGGGCTCAGAGGCAGGGGTAGATATGAAAAGCGCGCCGGTGAGAGGACTTGCAGAGAACTGATTTGGAAGACCATGCTGTGGATCTCACACGCCGTACCCGGTGGGGCGGCGGATCGCTTCGCTCATTCCGCCGGCCCGCACTGCGCCATCACCGATCACCACAGGCGTTTGCCTGCGCGTTCGTGGCCCCTTGGAGCCTCCAGAGGCCGTTTGGGGGCCGCTTGGAGTTTCTTTTCGGGCCTTTTGGGGAGCCCGTAGGGCCTCCAGGGGGCCTCCTGGGCTCTCTTGGGGCCTCCTGGGGGCTTCGTGGGGCGGAAGGCTCGAATTGGTGGTTCGTGTTTCCTCCCCTTGGGCCCATCTTGGGGCCGTCTTGGGTCCCTCTTGGGCGAGCTTGGGCGCCTCTGGGGCCGTTTTGCATTGTGGTCGCAAGGCGTTATGGTGGGGGTCGGGAGGACTCGATATCTCGATACCTCGATATCGGGGGCGGGGCTGGGCGGGGACTCGATATCTCGATATCTCGATATCAGGGGCGGGGACTCGATATCTCGATATCTCGATACCGGAAGGCGGGGACTCGATATCTCGATATCGGGGGCGGGGACTCGATATTTCGATGTCTCGATATCGGGGGCGGGGCCAGGCGGGGACTCGATATCTCAATAGCTCGATGTCTCGATATCGGGGGCGGGGCTCGATACCTCGATATCGAGATGTCGGGGGGGGGGCATTTGAAGCGGGGCTCTATGCACGGCACCCCATCCCAAGACCCGAATTTCCTTATGCACGGCCTGCGGGCCCGCACGGGTCTGCTCGAGAGGGGCCCGTCCGCGGCGCAGGGCGTGCATAAGGAATTTTCCCCTTTTCTGAGTGTGGGCCAGAGGGGTCCAGAGGGGGTCGGAGGGGTACGTGAAAGTCCAGATTATGAGGGTGACGATGACGACGTTGACGATGATGATGCTACTGATGGTGTTGTTGATGATGATGATGGTGATGATGATGATGATGATGATGCTGATGATGATGGTGATGGTGGTGAGGGTTATGGATGCGCGGATGATGCTATAGACCATGATGATGACGATGATGGTGGTGGTGATGATGATGACGGTGATGGTGATGATGACAATAATGCTATTGGTGATGATGCTGCTGCTGCTGATGATGATGATGGACATGACGACGGTGCTGATTGTGGTGGTATTGATGATGGTAATGATGATGATGAAGATGATGATGAGGATGATGATGAGGATGATGATGATGGTGATGATGGTGATGGTGATGGTGATGGTGATGGTGATGGTGATGATGATGATGATGATGATGATGATGATGATCATGATGATGATGATGATGATGATGATGATGATGATGATGATGATGATGATGATGATGATGATGATGATGATGATAGTGATGATGACGGTCATGACGATGGCCCCCTTGTCGAAGATAAAGGGAGGAGTTCGAGGAGGGAGGAAGGAGAAATCAGGGGGAGGAGGAGGAGAAGGAGGAGGAGGACGACGACGACAGGCGCTCTTGGGAGGGCGGGGTTCGTTATTTCGATTTGTAATTCGACTGCAGCCTTGTGGATGTCAACAGGCTGCGATGTAGAGATGTCCAGAGCCCGCCTCCGATATCGAGATATCGAGATATCGAGTCTGACCCCGCCGCCGACCCCCAGTGCGTGTCCGTAACCATCATCATCGTCATCATCATCATCATCATCATCATCATCATCAACACCATCAGTAGCATCATCACCGTCAACGTCGTCATCGTCACCCTCATAATCTGGACTTTCACGTACCCCTCCGACCCCCTCTGGACCCCACACTCAGAAAAAGGGGAAAATTCCTTATGCACGCCCTGCGCCGCGGACGGGCCCCGCTCGAGCGGACCCGTGCGGGCCCGCAGGCTGTGCATAAGGAAATTCGGGTCTTGGGATGGGGGAGGCGAATCGCCTTACATCGAGCCCCGCTTCGAATGCCCCCCCCGACATCTCGATATCGAGACATCGAGATATCGAGATATCGAGTCCCCGCCCCCGATATCGAGATATCGAGATATCGAGTCCCCGCCTGGCCCCGCCCCAGATATCGAGACATCGAGATATCGAGTCCCCGCCCCCCGATATCGAGATATCGAGATATCGAGTCCACGCCCAGC